TATAAAAAATAAATAATATTAGGAGTATTTTCTAAGTAATGTGAGAGAGTATAATTACATGGTAGTGTAGGAGAAAATATGGAAATTAGCCACCCCCATGGTCCTTTTAATAGTGAGAGATGAGAGAGTAGTTTTGGAGATAAGTATCACTACAAGAAAAGAGCCTTTTACCCGTACTTACGCACATGATCAAGTATGGTGATAAAATTTACGGAGTAACACCTATCTTTCTGCACTTAAAAGAAAGGTAAAAGACGATTTCACTTACCCACATAAAAAAGTGTGCCAACTCTCTTAAATACACTTAATTATAAAATTATAAAATAAATATACATCATTATTGATTTTTTTTCCCGTAACATAGAAATTGAAACAGTGAAATATATTAGCGCCCACTACTTTTTCAATTCAGCTCCTAAATTCATCCACTAATCCTTTTTTCACTGTATTACAGCACCTAAATTAATTAACCTAACTCTCAGCTCTAGCACACCGGATCGGATATCCTCATCACATGTGAATCGTACGACCTAATTCTCCTAACTGATCACTGGATTGAGTGAATTCAGATCGATTCCTTTGATCGTTCAGCTCTCTGTCCTGCGACCAGTTTGTTTCGTTCAACAGCATCTTCAATCGTGCGTCTTCAATCGATCGTTCAGCTCTCTGTCGTGCGGCCAGATTGTTTCGTTCAACAACGTCTTCAATCGTGCGGCCAGATTGTTTCGTTCAAAAGCATCTTCAATTCTCAATCGTGCAGCCAGATTCAACCTTTCATATCAGCGTCCTTCCTCTTCACAATTGTTCCGCCCCTTCTTCCATCCAGGTATTATACCACTTAAAGTTTTCAGTTTCCCTGTTTATTCCAAGATTACAAATTAAATATCTAAATTAAAGATTATGAATAATTTTATACAATCTGAGAATCATATTGTTCGATTTATAAAATTATAATTCCAATTTTAAATGTCTAATTGTATTTAATCAATATTAATGTTGAAATAGACAAAACTAAATCCAAAAATTTAAAAATAAAACTGAAAATTTATTTTAATTTTCCAGAATGCCTAAAATCATATTTTAAAATTCCATAATGATTAAAATTATTTTTCCATATTCAACTTGTATTTATTTTGCAATTAATCAAATTAACTACAAAATTAAATAAAATTTTTAAATAAGGATATAAATTCTGTAATTTAATTTTAATTTTCCTGAACACTTAAAATCACATTTAAATGTCTCAGATCTATTAAAATACAATTTTCAAAGTTTCAAAATATTTTTCATTGATTAAGCCGATTTAATCAATAAATACCGAAAATAGAATATAACCCAATTTTAATTAAAAAATCATATTTTAAAATTTCATAAAGTCCAGAATCATATTTTGGAACTTTTATGAATTTTGGATACTTTTCGAAAATTAAATACATGTTTAATTTTATTTAGTAATTAACAAAAATGCTAACGGAAATTAGATCTACAAAATGTATAATTTCATAAGTCCGCTCAGATACCACTGTTGGGTAATATGCTTGGATAGGGCAGCGAAAATATAAAAAGGTTTTGTCCAAACATAGATCCACCCAAGACCTTTTATGAAGATTATAAGTTAGTGTTAGAAAATTATACCTTTTTTGGCGAGCAATCAGCGATATGTGTGGTTGAAAGGATTGGTCCAAGAGCTAGCCACAAAAGAATCTAACCTCTAGTTGAGACACACGAACTATGAAAAACTCTCTACAGAAAATTATGCTACTAATTTTTCCCTAGAATATTTCTAAAATATAAAATATTTTAGAGTAAAGCATTAAGAAAACAAAACAAATTGTTTCTTGATAAAAGAAGGAGAGGGCCGAAATTATTGAGTCCCCAAAAGGGTTGGAATGATCTTCTCTTTATAAAGAGCATAATTTCCATCCCTATTCCCAATTGGAATGTCCCTTTTAGTGTTTAGGAAAGAAATAAAATCTCATTTCTTCTTTACTTTGCTAATTTTGAAATACCCTATTAAGGAACCTTGCAATTTATTTTGTGAACTTTAATTATCATATAATTAACAAAAAATAATTAATACAACATTGTAATACACACACACACACACACATATATATATATACACGAAACATATAATATATATATATATATATATATATATATATATATATATATATATATATATATATATATATATATATATATATATATATATATATATAGGGACCGGTTCCCGTGAGAATGCACCTTATGGAGAGAAATGAGAATAAAATCTAGCCGTCAGATCTGATGCATCGTGCGGCTCAGATTGCATTCTGCGCTCAGATTTTGAGATAGTGCATTCTCGAAAGTTTATGGTGCATTTTGACGTGATGCATTTTCGCACCATTTTGTGCATCTAATTTTGATGAAATCTTGACCCTTAGATCTCACAATCTAAAGCACCAGATTCATTCTCATTTCTCTCATAAGATTGCATTCTCACCGGAACCAATATATATATATATATATATATATATATATATATATATATATATATATATATATATATATATATATATATATATATATCGTATGTGTGTGTGTGTCTATATATATAAGAAGGTGAGCCAGTTGAGGAGTAACTCCGAGTCAACGACGGCGTGCCGCTGATGATCTGGATGGAGATCTAGAAGAAAAAGGTGAGCCACTTGAGGAGCGTCCGCCACACTTGAACTGTTTTCGGGGCGTAGACTTCCGAAGCCAGGGACAGCTCTGCCATGACGCCGTCGGCCGGAACCTATCCAAACTGCTCTCTCGAAACCAGAGAGAAAGCTCAGTCACGGTGATTTTATTGAGAGCTCTTTCATGTTATAGATGTTCTCTATCATACAAGAGATGATTGTAATTTTGAAGAAGATGATGGAAATTATCCCTATCGGAGAAGAGATATTCTGAAGGGGAGGCGATAGACCTAATTGCGAAATTGGGGGCACACATTAGGCGGGCAATGAAAAATAGGGAGGGATTCTCAAATTTGAAATGAACTTGAAAATTTTTGGAATCAGCAATCTGATTTTTGAAACAAAAAAGTTTTTTGGTCCATAAATTTTCTCACTCTTATGTACCACTTTCAATTAGGGGTACGCAAAAATACCGGTCCGATATTGTTTTAAACTGAAACGATAATGTACCGAACCGAAAAGTGAGTTTTCAAATAGTTCTAACAAATTATATTCCGAATCAAACCGAACTGTTATCATGATAGTACAGGACGGGTTTCTAAAAAATAAATAGTTAAAATACCTAATCGTTACCACTGCAATAATAAAATACGGAGTAATAAATTAGTTGTACATTTGTTTGTTAATTGAATTTTTTACTCACATGGAGTAAATTGCACAAGATACCCATATTTAAAGATTAGATTCTGCAAATAAGACACAGCGTAGAGAAGTAAATAAATCTTTTTGAAGATTTGATCTCGTCTTATTGGACATGAATTTGATTTAATCCTATTAGATCTGTTTTGTCCGATTTGATCTGATTAGGTCCGATCTGATCCATTTAAAGATTATATCAGGCAAATAGGACACAACCTATACATGTAAACTGGTTTCATTTGATTCGAAATTCATTAGATCTCATTAGATCTGTTTTGGTCTAATTTGATCGAATTAGGTCCGATCCGATGCATTTAAAGATTTGAGCAGGTTAATAGGACACAACGTATACAAGTAAATACGGAGTATATCTTTTTAAAGATTTGATCTGATCTTATTGGGTTTGAATTTGATTTGATCCGATTGGATTGATTTTGGTATGATTTGATCTAATTAGGTCTGATCTGATGCATTTAAAGATTATATGAGGCAAATAGGATACAACTTATACAAGTAAATATATCTGCTTTGAAGATTTGATCTGATCTTATTATATTCGAATTTCATTTGATCAAATTAAATCCGTTTTGGTTCAATTCAATCTAATTAGGTCCGATCTAATCCTTTTAAAGATTACATGAGGAAAATAGGACACAACCTATATAAAAGTTTAGATTTTCTTGGAAGATTTGATCTGATCTTATTGGTTTTGAATTTGATTTGATCCGATTAGATCTGTTTTTGTCCGATTTGATCTAATTAGGTACGATCCAATGCATGTAAATATTTTGGCACATTTATTGTACATTTATTGTACATTACTTGTTTTATTCATGTCCTTAAGTTTAAAATTGTTTTTAAAAAAACTTTTTTAGAATTTAATAAGGAAAGGATAATAAGGTTTATTACACCTTATTTTAAAGTTTAATTTTAGTTGTTTTATTCAAAGATCTTTTTTTACACCTTGGAAAAGAATTGGATCTATTTTTTTTTTGCTCAAGTTTGCACAGGTTCATTTTCGAAGGTCTTAAGATTGGATTAGATCTAAATCTTGTTATGGACAAAGTTTTTTTGTACAATAAATGCTTTCTTCTTAAGAGTTGTTTAAATTTAATGTCAATACCATGTTGTTAAAAATCTGCGCTCTAAAAATGTGTGATACTTTAGTCTTGGAGAAATTACAGGTTTAAAGTGGTATAAGTGAAACTTATATCTCAAATTTGTCATTTTCAATTGTAACGTCCTGAAAATCGGTCTAAAAGTTAATCGATAATTAAATAAATACTCCGTAAGAATTATTTATCTACGATAATCTATTCTTTTAAAGAATTAAAAGACACTTTATAGATTCTAATCGTCTCAATATTTGGTGACTGATCTCATTTAAATATAAAGATTTAAAGTAAATAACTGAACAATGTTAGTTGAGCGAAGCAATTAACACGGACCAGGTGGAAGTTATAAATGCTTATTGATTGATTATGAAAGTTATACTGTTGGGTAAGGATCGACGAATTGAATTCAAAGACGCAAACGGATCTTAATTCGAACCAAGTTCACCCGAAAAATGTGTTTTACACAACACGTTATTTGAAATTACAGAGTACAAAACCGTAGGATATACTCCCTTCGTTCTTAAAAACATTTCCTCTTTCATTTTTTCCGCTTACAACAAAATACTTCCTCTTTCTATTAAAAAACCACTTTTACCCTTACTTTTTCATATCCTACGTATCACATCATACTTTTTTTCTAATAATCTATCCATTACATCTTACTTTTACCCATCATATTAGGAATAAAATTGGAAATGAACTATGGTTTAACACTTATTTTTGTTAGAATGGGAAGTCTTTTTCTCAAACGGGGGCTTTCGCTGCTTCGATCGAAATCGCCGTCGTCCTTGCTCCTCTTTCTTCTTCGATTCGCAGACATGGTTACGACGGCAAGGCGGAAGAGTCCGACCGGCGACGATCTACAGAAGCGACGACGGGGAGCGATCTGGGAACCTCGAACCAGCAAGCTCTGACGACGTCTGGACAAATCCGAGCATCAACTCCAGCGAATTCTTCTCTGGCAAATCAGCAACGCGACAGCGCTCAATCCAACGGCGAGTTCCGGCAGCAATGCTGGTGACTGACCACAGTGGTCCAGCGACGATTTCTGCCGGCAACCCCTTGTCCAGCGACCTCTGTTCCGGCAAAGTCCAGCAGCTCCGGCAGAGTAACAGCCAGCATCCAGTGGCGGCGGCGAGCCGGTAACTCTCCGGCGAACTGACAACCGTGGTGACCCAGAAACTCCGGCGACCTATGGGCCATGAAGGTCAGGTTTGGGCAGTGATTTTTGACCATGGACAGTGAGGATGAGATCGAGCAGCAACGATGATAGATCGGGGCAGGCTTGGACAGTGACGGGCTTGCTTGGGCAGCGATACCGGATTGTGCGTGACGCCGTCTACCCTCCGTTCGGGAGTTTCTCTCTACAGGAACTGCAGTGCTGGCCAGTGTTCAGTTAACACGGTTCACAGCGGATTTTGTTGTGTTTTTGGTGCAAAATTTGGATCTCCAGGATTGAATTCAATTGAGGATTCCATTTTTGAGTTTATCTTTTCTGATTTGGGAATGGATTTTGCTGAAATTGGTATGTCTTCTTCATCTTCTTCTTCGTTTAATATTGATTATTTAATTTGTATCCTAGCCTCTCTCCTTCTCTCTAGCTTCCACATCACCATAGCAGCCAAACCTCCCAATTGGGTGACAGAGAGAGAATTGGAGCAAATTTTGGGTTTGAGGTACTGGCTATGTATACAACAGTGTGCTCCCTTTTAGGATTTACATTTCTTCTTCTTCTTTATCTTCTTTACATGTTCAATTGACCATATGTTTGATTTTTTAGTTTAAAAGCAATATTTTTTGGCATCTAGATTGCTTGAGCTATATTGATTTGGCTAATGACAAAAGGTTATGCCTTACTAGACATTCTCAGATTGATTTTATGTTCAATTCACCATATGTTTTTATTACTCTGTGAAGGCTCAGATACGTGTTTCCAGCAGGCACAAAGAGAAAACAGATCCACTATGGCTGCAAAACAATGACTGCCCTGCCAAGATATAGATTGAGTTCTCTAAATGCCTCAAGATTTGGTAGCCTGATATCATCAAAACCTCTATACACATAGAATGTCTATTTGTGTGTATATAATCTCAGATAAAAGGATGCACTCCACTTAGTCAGATTTAATGTTAATAAAATGCTAATTTGTTCTATTTTGTATGCACTTGTTTCTTCTTTTCTTGATAAATTATTATTTTAAATTGCTTGAATAATTTCAACATAAAGATAGTAGCACATGATGTCATGTTGAGAACATGTAAAGAGACTAAAGAGGGTAAAATCTTTGAAATTCATGTTGTAAAAAAGAATAACTTAGTGCATAAAACATCCTGCTAGGTGAGGGTTTCATGCAATTGCACATACATACACAAGTGAAAACAATCTATGTTTTAATTAGGTTTTAAGAACTTTACTATCTAGCATAGTGGAAATGCGTTTGTTTGTTTGGCTCATTGAGCAAATCATTTCAGGGTACAAACTTAAAAAAACGGAGACTTGTGGTGAACAACATTGTTAGATTCACAAATGTTAGACAGGTAGTGTAGTGACAATATGAAGATACAAATACTGATTATATAAATAGCTCAAGAAACATCAAATCTTCAAAGTTTGCTCACTGGTTCTCTAAAGAAGGTATGCCAAGCTTCTCCCCATCTCTGACCTTATTAGTCATGACTCTTGAATATCCTAAGTAGTGATATACCATACTGTAGTAGAAACCAATCAAGGAGGTGATTGGACATTTAATAGACCAAGTGATTTACTTTCATTGATTGTAATGTTATTTACTCCAGTGATACCCCTGATACGATTATGCCTAATATACTAGTTGTTGTAACACATGATATTTGTGAACCACCACAATTAATGTGCATGTATTAGAGACAAGGTGGTCTCTTCCGTCTTTAAATGTGAAAATCTTGGACAGAATAATTTGTCTGAGTAAAGCGAGAACAATTCAAATAAATGTATAGAGGACTATCCATTAGATGCATTTAGGATTATGAAAATATATGTAGGCATACTTTAATAAGATGGTATTTTGTATTCTATCCTAATAAAAGGTTTGGCTTAATTCATCATTTTTTACCTTCACTTTATTTTGACAGATTTCCAGGATCATAATTTGCCATACTTTTTTGAAGCATTAGAGAGGAATGCAAAATCACACTTGAACCAAGCACTCAAAAAGGTATAAATATCATTATCAAACTGTATGACAAGTTTGTTTGTGCGTGAAAGAGGTGTTTGAAGTACAACTAAGTTTAGTTATCATATTCACGCAATTTAATTGTTTTTTAATGCTAGGTTCAATGCAACCAATTACTAGCTAGGTCGATCCACAAGAGCAAGACTTTCATGAAGTCGATAAAGGTTATTGATATGAATCAGTTACTACATTGGGGATGACATGTATGAGACAATGATTGAATTTGCAAGGCATTTCATGAAGTATCTTGCAACTTGAACAACTCGAATATGATATGGGAACAAATGACTAATTTAGTTGGCTCAATGGGTAATTACGATGTCCTTTTATTTATGTAAATATTAATTATTTGATGATATTAATATTTTGAATGTATGATTTTAGATATTACTCAATGTATTGTAATTTTTGGAATTTTTTTTGTTTTATGATTAATATTTTATAATTGAAACAAATTTTAATTACTCCCTCCGTCCCCCTGTATTTGTCCACTTTCATTTTTACACACCATCCAATGCACTTCTTTAATTCATTTTATCTTGTAATTTGTATATTAAAAAATTATAAAAATTATATATTAATAATCTATATGTTAAGACAAATCAAACAAGATCACACATGACTATATTTAGGCTTACACATTAAGAGAATTTGATGAGTCAAAGTGTTTAGATGAACAGTTCCAAAAGTCAAATGTGGACAAATACAGGGGAACGGAGGGAGTATTAAAAATGGGTGCCTTTGATTTAGAGAGACAATACAAAATAACCATAGTTGGATAAACAATTAGACCACTATTCAACTTGATAGTTTGAATCGTATACGGATAACTACACAAACCTGTAGTCTTAATAATTTTAGACATCTAGAACACACAATTGTTTGAAATGAAACAAAATAGTCTTTTGTGTTCTACATATACCATTGAAAATAACAGTGGTTTGCATATTATTTAAACAAAATCATAGCGTTAATAATCGTTATACAACAAAAGCAAACAATTGTTTAAAATAAGACCAAAGTAGTAGTCTTAATTTGTACATACAACACAAAATAATAGTTGTTTGATGAAAATATTTGTAGTGGTCTTTCGAGGAGCTGTCTGATAATCAATTACACTACTGTTCAAAAATATAGTTGGAATATTTTAAGGACAACTGCAAAAAAGTGTAGTGTTATTGTGCACTATACAATTGAAAGAAACGGCTGTTTAACATACAACAAAATTAGTAGTCTATGTTTTAGAAATATAACACTAGATAACAGTTGTCTGATACTATTTTTGTTTAGTAGTCTTCCGAGCAGCAGTCTAATATATCTTTCAACTACTTTAGAAATTAAATATCTATATTTTTGACCGACAACACCAAACAATAGGAGTCTGAAGTCGAAAACAACAGTAGTATATATTATAGATAGACAACAAAGAATCACAATTGTCTTTAAGTCTAGAAAACAGATGTCTTACTCATACAAGGACAACTTCAAAAACATGTACTCTGAAAGATCACAAAATAGGTGTCGTCCACCGCACTACACAATTATTTTTAAACAGTAGTCTGTAAATCAGACAGTTGCTCGGAAGACTACTGAAACGACCCAATTAGACAACTAAAAGAAACAGTTGTCAGCATCTGTTTTAGACGTAGTGTACGTCTAAACCACACGAGACGACTAAAACAATCTTTAACACCTATTATTCTTGATAAAAAATAGATATGGAATCATAAGTTGGGCTCACTTATATATTCAACAATCTCCCACTAGCACTAAGGCCAATTATGCATTACATAAATGCCTATGCACGAAGCGTGACCCTCGTGTCTAGGTTTTCCCAAAGCCTAGGTCAATGGATTTATAGATTGTCATCTATTTCTATTTTGCAAATCGTCCCAAGATTCACTCACCATTGTGCCCAAGGAACGGTCATCGTCCTCGTCTATGTTGATGATATTGTTATTACTGGGAGTTCATCTGCCATTATTTATAAAGTTACGCAGGCCATGCATCACAACTTTAAGCTGAAAGAACTTGGTCCTCTCCATTATTTTCTCGGTATTAAGGTCAGACGCACCAAGGAATACATGGTCTCCATAGACAAAATATGCACGTGACCTTCTACGCAGAGCAGGGATGTCTGAATGTCATCTGGCCATTACCCCCATGGTCGCTAGACCAGTCATCACGCCCTCTGTTCCTTTCAAGGATTCCTCTCATTTCCGGAGTATTGTTGGTGGTTTGCACTATTTAGTTGTTAGTCATCCGCACATTCACTACGCGGCCAATTGGGTGTATTAGACTATGTACAACCCATATGTGAAGGATTATCACGCCTTATAGCGTGTCCTCCGCTACTTGAAAGGTACTTACATCTTGGTCTTCTTTTTTGCAAGGAGGGATTTGATCTGTTTGTTTATTCTGATTCTGATTGGGCAAATAATAAAGATGATTGTAAATCTACCGCTAGTTACATCATCTTGCTGGGTCCCAATCTCATCTCTTGGTGTACGAAAAAGCAGACCCATGTTTCTAGATCTTCCACTAAAGCTAAGTATCATGCTATGGCTGCAGGCGTAGCCGAAGCTATGTGGCTACGCTATATTACTAATGCGTTGGGTATTCCTCCTTTGAAACAACACTTATACTGTGATAATGAGTCAACTATATGTGTCACAAAAAATCCAATTCTCCATGATCGTATGAAACATGTTGGTTGTAACACCCCACCCTGGATGACCCGAGTCATCCAGACCAGAACGCTAGTAAAACCGGGTTACTTTGTTAAAAAAAAAATTTCCAAAATATATACTCTTTTTGATAACTAAAGGGAATTAAAAAAACATTTACCGCGTAAACTTAAAGTAACACATACATCCACAGTTAATACAACCTTGGGTTCAAGCCCGAAAACAAAGTAAAATTAAGTTTGACGTTCTATTTATTATTAAATATTAAATAAGAACTCTTTTAGTACGGCCTCCACGTCCAAGCTTTCCTCCTCAGCAGTCGTTACCGTTGCTAGTACCTGCGTGCAGTTAAAAAAACTACACGCTCAGCAAAGCTGAGTGGCAAATAACCAATAGACATATATAACATGTAAATATATTTTTGGGTATTTTAAGTTATTCATGTTTTATGATCTTTTTGCAAAATTAAAATCAATAAGTAAATAACCTCACTTTGAAAAGTTACTTGGGGATCGGACATTTAGAAAACACTTGACGTACTAGGTTAGCCACAGATTAGAGACAAAGCCGTGACTAGGCTGGAACACCGCACTAGTCGATACGTAGTTTTACTTCGGATACCTCCCCGTGACCTCGGGTCCAGTAATCAGAAGTGAACCCTAGACCCACGGGGTCATCGTTGGGTTCTCGTGCGCACGTTGTGGTATGATTATTTGTAAGCTCATCCACTTGGACACATACGATCCGGCCTTATAACGTGTGGTTTGACCCACTTTGATAAAACGTGACGATACCTGGTCAGGGTATGTCGTTAAACTCGATGTTCAAATTTTACTTCGTCTCCTAGCTATTTGGCAAAAACTTAGTAAGGTCCTTTAAATAAAACACTTTTAGTCTCTTCAGATATGAATCATTTTTTTAATACATTTAACACTTTGTGCCCCTTTTATAAAAAACATACGATTGTTTCATAGCAAATATCTCAAAAAAAAATATGTATAAAGGTGATACCCATATGTTCATTGGTCAATCAAATGAAATGTTTTTTTTCTTTTTCCATGTTAGGAGAATAACATGCACCAAAATTGTTCTCATAAACCATGGGTGCATTCGGTCTTTCGAAAAAAATAACAATAAAACCAGAACCAAGAATAAAGTAAAAATATATACGTTTTGGTCCACGTTTATAATTATAAACAACATGCTTCATATGGAGTACTTTATGTAACAAAATATGAGCAACAAAGGAGTCACTTTTGTGGACTAAAAACGTTGGGTTTTCTTTTCCTTTTACATTTGTAACAAGAACGTTCATTATATATTTAAGTAACCTCTGTTTTATTTTATTTTATATTTTGTTCCTTTTAATAAGGCTTTGGCCGTGTATATAAAAAAAACAATCTATACATATTTTATTCACTATTATTTTTATTATTATAAAATCGGTCGGCGCAAATTAAGAGTAAACAAAAAAACAAATTGTAAGTTTTCAATATTATTACTGTCTCAAAAAAACAATTTAATCCTTCATTTGTTTTAGAAAGAGTGTTTTTTTGTACCCATGTATGCTTTTGTTTTTTTTTCATCCCATGCGTATATATATAAAAAGATGTACTCATACCATAATTAGTTCCATCTTATTATAAACTCCGTATACATGAATATAGGCTTTATACGTATCATCACGCAATTTAGGTAAAAGAAAATGCATTGCACAAAAATATATGAACATGAAATATACATCTAGAGGTTAGGGTCAACGGCACACCTTCGATGTTGTTAACGGAAAGGTAGATGAACAGAACTTCTGAAGTATTTCCTCGCTATCACGCTTCGTTGTCCTCCCAACACTCTCTAGATCAAGTGTCCTCAAGTGGTCACCCTAGGCCTCTATTTATAGGTAGCATAGGTATGTGGATAGTTTTTTTTAATTTAGTTAAATAAAATTTTTAAACATAAAGTCTCTCTTAAATAAGAGATGCAATGAATGGGTTGGGGAGGAGGATCCTAGGCGTGGCCAACAAGGGGAAAGCAAAAGGTTTCTTCCTCCGTTGGTATAATATTACGTGTCCCATTTCCACAGTTTTCATTATTAAATAATTTTTTGGAAAAATATAAAACTTATAGCGTTAAGTTCCACATTTTTCACACATCATTTTAACATAATTTGTTTGTCAAGAAAATAGGTTCACTTGAACAAACTATATTATTCAGATAGTAGAGAACAAAAACTAATTTATTCCCTTTCACTTTATTCTATTTTTTTTTCATCTCCACTAGTAATTAATCACTTAAAAATTAAATTCCAAATTTATTGTTTTTTTAGATAACTAAAAGTAATATTTTTTTAAAAAAAAACTACTCTTTTCTTTGTACTAGAAGGTTAAAATTTCTAGACCAGTTTTCAGGGCGTTACATTGGTTCAGATGAAGTAATGACAAACACTATGACTACACATTCTCACGAAGCCGCTTGCGCCACTTCCATTCGAGTTCACTTTTTACGAGATGAAGTAATGACAAACACTATGACTACACATTCTCACGAAGCCGCTTGCGCCACTTCCATTCGAGTACTTATGCTCCAAGCTGCCCCTCGTCTCCGCTAATCAACTTGCGTGGGATATTAGGGAATACATTATTAATTAATTAATTTCCTTCTTTCTTTGATTCCTTATTGTATTTGTTTACTTTATTCCTTTTCCTACTTGGATCGGAACTCTCTCATGTAATCCCTATAAATAGGGATGTATCCTTCATAATTCAATAAGATTAATTATTATCAAATTGCATCAATTTCTTGAACTTAACTTTATTACTTCTTTTGTTCATAAAATTTCTTTCCATTTGACATTCATGGTCTTCAATGCAACATATTGACTATTGGTATCTCTATGTATATAGATATATTTTAGAAAAAATAATATTTCAAAAAATAATTTAAAATGTATCTATCGATATTAAATATATACGGAGTATAACAATTTAATGTATTTTTTGTAATTTATGGTTAAACTTTAAAAACTTAGACTAAAGTCGAACTTAAAAATAAAATTATGCATGGATGGAGTACTTAACTAGTACTCTCCCGTCTATTAGTTTATTTTTCACTTTCCTTCAGTGGCGGATCCAAGAATTCGGGTAGATGGGGGCATAATTGGTCGGGGATCTCGGGGCCGCACCCCAAGATTTTTTTAAATAGAAAAATATGGAATAACAAAAAAATTATTATTAAATTCTATTTTAAACATTTATTGAATGCAAAATATTGTTTAATATGTAATATAAAATCTTATTATAAACAATAAATTATATTAAATAAAAGACACTTCAATAAAATTAATCAAAAACTAAAAACTAGCTTAGCTACATAAGATTCTATTATTTTTTGTTGGGAGTACCGAGTACATAATTTTAGATGGGGTCAACCCCAATTTAGAGAGGGCATGTAGTCTAGTATAGTTTTTTGTTTTTTTCAAAATAAAAAAATGATTTAACACCAAAATTTAGTAGGGGGCATTGGCCCCCATTTGGTTCTAAGAGGGTGTTTGGCAATGTGCTGTTTTTAATAATTTAGCTTCTGCTTTGAGTAGAAGTGAGTTTACTCTGTTTGGCATGTCAGCTTCTGCTTTTCACCACCACTATTTTGTATATAGAACACCGTTTTAGAGAAGCATGTATGAGGTGCTTTTGGTTTCAGCTTTTATGGAAATCACTTTATCCATACGTTAATCACTCCCAAACACCTTCTAAGTACATCCGCCACTGCTTTGTCCAAATATTTCTTTACTGTTTCCTATTTTGGCAAAAAAAACTTTTAATGAATGTATCTTGATACCCCTACTTTTTATCTACAATTTTCACTTTATTTCATCATATCAAGGACAATTACATGGAAAGTATTTAAACTTTTTAACTTTTTTAATTTTCGTGTCAAGTCAAAGCGAGAAAGAATTTTTGGACGGAGAAAGTAATATTTACCTTTATTTAAATTAGATCAAATCAAATAAGATTAGAAAAATTAAACCAAATAAAAAAATTTTAAAAAAATAAAATATACATACAATTTTAATTAAAATAATATCAGATTGGATCACTTTAAAAAATTTGATCAAATCATAAAAATCAGATTAGATGGAGATAAGTTCATTAATAGCTTGATTGGGTTGAAAACTTGAACGTGACGGAAATAAATTTAAAGCCCTACGTCAAACATTGACAATGTTACATTGTTACCACGTACCCGTATTTTTATTGGATTATTCTTTATTGACGTGGATTTTTTCCATCATCTCCGATGGAGCCAAAATTTCACCATTTTTTTTGCTTTGGGGTGTGATGGAATAAATAAAAATGGATCTCTAAACTATCTGCGCTTCTTTAATTAATGAAGTAGCAGTTAGTTAAGCAATGCAACTTTCGACGTTGAGCCGGGGGTCTCTTTGGAAACAGCCTCTCTACTTTCGAGTAGGGGCAAGGTCTGCGTACACACACCCTCCCCAGACCCTACTATTGTGGGATTTAACTGGGTTGTTGTTGTTGTTTATTGACGTGGATTGCGGCAAGATTTTTCCTACCTTCGCAAACCATGGCGAGTTTTAGAGGTTGTATTGTGTGAATACGATCTTTTTTAGAGGTTGTAGTGTGAATAAGATCTAGTTCAATGAAAAGCTCCTTGTACTTAAACTGGTTTTTGGATCTGGTTTTTGGATAGGAGCATGCTACACATGTACCCCAAAATTTGTATTCACAGTGTATGCACCAACATTTTGATGGTTTACACGGACACAATTCACACAAAGTGTTGGTGCATTAATAAAAATTTACACTGACACAAAGTGTTGGTGCGTTAACAAAAATTAGCATTACACCAATACAAAATGTCGATGCATCATTGGCGGTATACAAAATGGGGTACAAATTCTTGGAGTACAAATAACATTTTCCCCTATAGTATCTGAACTTTAATATTAAGAGATTACGATTTAGAAAGTCATTATCACACAATTTTAAAAAATTCACATATAAGATTTAAAAAAAAGAAATCTCACTTTAGTTTCTAAACTCATCAAACCATCCTAGACCCAGTCTTGAGCAGTTTTCTGGGTGGTAATTTACAACATCAGTACCAAAACATAGTGACTTTCCCAATGTAGTACTATAGATTTTTATTTCTAAATGTTAAATATACTAAATATATATTTACTATATTTAATATTTATGTATATTGGTAGCTACCATATTTGTATAGGGTGTATTAATTATTATTTCCTATTATCATTAGGAAACCTTTGTATATATAGAACATGTAATCTCCCTAATCAATCATGAGAAAATATTCATTCTTCATGGTATCGGAGCTTTAATTCTCGGCTTCCGTTTTCTTCCCAAAAACCTTGATCGGCAGACCACCTCCCCTCTCCTCTCTGCCGATTTCTTCCCAACCCTGATTGGCAGTCCCCCCTCCCTTCTCCTCACTGCCGCAGATCCTCTCCCTACTCACCACCATGACAGATTCTTCCACCGTCACCGGCAAGGCTATCTCGAAAACTGAGAACAACTCTTCCCCCAACTCTCCACATCTAGCCTTCACAACTATATCTAATATCAAACTCCATGTTCCTGTGCAACTCAGTCTGTCCGAGCCAAATTACAAAAAATGGAGTCGATTGTTCCGTCTCTTGATTCTCCGTTTCAATCTCAAGGGGTTCATTGACGGCACCGCCATCGCCTCCTCCGCGGATGACGCAGAATGGTATCAATTCGATGCCTTAATTCAAGGTTGGATCTTGTCCACCATCACGGACGAGGTTTCCGACCTAGTGCTTGCCAACAATCTCTCCGCCCATGCTCTATGGAAGGCAATTCACAACCTCTTCCACGACAATAAGCATGCACGGGCGATGCAACTGGAGCATCGTTTCCGCACAACCGTGAAGGGCAACCTCTCCATCAACGACTATTGTCGTCTCCTCAAGAATCTCTCCGAATATCTCGATGATGTGGATGCACCGGTCACCGAACATGCACTCGTACTCCAAGTTCTCCAAGGTCTCCCCCACGACATCCGGAGTCAAGTACAATTCTTGCAATATCAAAACCCGCTCCCCACGTTCTTGGAAGTTCAGTCGGCGTTACTTCTTGTTGAACAGCAGCAAAACGACTCACTCTATGGTTCTGGCACGTCACCCACAGCCCTTCTCAGCACTGGAGGTCACGGCAGCCATGGGGGGAGCGCACATCGCCACGATCGGGGCAGCGGCTATGGCGGTTCTGGGAGCAGCGGCAGCGGCAGTTTTGGCGGCGGACCTGGCGGAGGCTATGGCGGACGCGGCAGGTCCTCAGGCGGCGGCGGCGGCGGCAATCGCGGCAGGGGCCGCGGTCGAGGTCGTGGAAGCGGCGGTCATCTGCGGCAACCATCGGGCTTCAATTCCTGGATATTTCCCTCCCCCTCCCTTGGTGTCCTTGGGCCTCGGCCCAACCCGCCTAACCCACTAGCCCAAGCCCACATCCACACCTCTCCTTATTATTCCACTCCCCACTACCCAAACAACCCATCCCACGGCCCATACTTACCAAAC